ATAATAAGGCGATGGTGTATTCTGAAGGTCTTTGGACTTCCTGAATCATTTTCTCCAAATTTATCTTTTGTATGAGTTTAAGGAGAGCAAATACTAATTGAAAGTAACGTAAATATTATAATTTCACACTGAGGCCCGATTTTTCATTAGCTGGTTAAATTGTGATTGGATTGAACCTGATGATATAAAAATGATATTTTTTTATCTATAATTACTAAAGTTACTAAACTGATAGTTTTAGGATAACATTACAAAATCATTAATTTACTGATCATAGAAAAACACATTTTTTTATTATCAAGAAACCTAAAGCACATCTAAATCTAAAGCACAATTAATCAGATAATGAAAAACTAGACCTCAACAATATAAATGTGGTGGTTGTGTGTTTTGTGTGTGTGTGTGTGTGTGTGTGTGTGTGTGTGTTTAGCAGAAAAGTAATTTTGCAATTGTAAGATTCTTTAATATAATTCTTTACATATTTAGAGCCAGTGAGAAACCAAGAATAATAAAGTCTAGACACAATTAAAAAGTACAAGCAATAGAAACAGGACAGATTTCAACCTATATATACCAGAATACATGATTCCTGAGATTCGTTCTTACCTGTTTCTATTGTCTGTTTTTTTTTTCAATTGTGCATTAAACTTAAGAACCAATCATATTAAAGAATTTTATAACAGTTGCAAAATTGCTTTTTCTACTGATCCAATTATTGATGTTACATTACTTTTGATATCATATTGAGAAAAATTTTGGGTTGAAAATAAACAATTCAGAAAATTCTAATCATATTAGTCAGAATTCTGATTATCTCAATTAGAATTGTAATGTATATACACATGATATATAATTCAACCAGAATTTCAATTAATACAATCAAGCTTTCCAATGCTTTATTATTGATATTACTTTTAGTTGATGTTTACTGGGGAGTTAATGGGTTTCGTATAATGATAAATAATATGTTTCATGGAACGTCACTGGGAAAGAAATTGATGTCGCGAGCGGAATCGAAGAGACGAGATCATTATTGAGCGTCATCCTCAAGAAAACGTCGCCTGTTTTATTTTGGGTGGACGCTTCGAATCACGTGCTATCGGCAACCACTTCTACTCAAATCTCACTCAGTGGTTCCCATCGGGATCGTCGACAGATCGCTGGCAATCTTCTCACGTTATCTCGATAATCTGCTCAATCGGCGCGTCGCGATCTACGGAAATCGATGGCAATCAATTTCCATCGACAGCGAGAAATGGCAGGCTTTCCTTCCGATTACATCACGTTATATCCACGCTTGAAGCGAACATGTATACTTGATACGTTTCGGGAAAGATAAATTGTAGGGATTTAATTCGTAATCTATATTTATTACAGCCGAAAAAGCACCTTTAAAATCGTTGATTTATATATTAATTGAGAATCTTTAGAATCTCATCTTTCAAGAAACTAAGTCAATATTTCTTTGTAATTGATTATATTGATCAAATGTCTCGTAGTGCCGTGATCGTCATGTGAAAGCACGTTTCTACGAAAATTTTCCCGGAACCATGATTTTGCCAAACACAAAATTAAAATTAAGGTCTAATTATAACTGATTAATTTAATTAACGTTGCTAATTATTTCACACTTTATTTAATTGACGCTTTTTCTTTCTGTAACAATTGTTATAATAGGCATGATTTAACAAAAGATCCAGCAATAACAAATAAATTAATAATATAACGATACTATCACAAAAATGCTATCAAGTATACTGAAAAAAGCAATTCATTTTATTTTAATATATCTTACTAAAGAATTGTATTCGCCATGTATTATATATTCCCAAAAATTATTGGAGTAAATCTGATTCTAAAAAGAGTGAAATCCCGTTCTTAAAGATTAAAAATTGGAACTCTTTTTCAAGATTGATTCAATTTTCATTCTTTAGAATGACGTTCCACTTTAAAAAATTTAAAAAGTTAAGCCCGAAAACAGAAACAGGGTCTTCAGCGCTAACAAATACGTTTTCTTTTGTTGTGCCAAAACCGAGTTTCTTCCGTTGACATTGACACTAAAATCCGATTATTTCTCTACGTGACTCCGTCGACACGGATTCGGAAAGCGTGAGATTGGCAATGAGAGACAACCCGAAGTTGCGAAACGCAGGCGAGCGACGATAGCGGAAGCGTCCAGTTAATATCGCAAAAAGTTGCAACTTCGCGCAACAAAGATGGCTTGCGTTCCTTTATCAAAACCACTTGCAACTCGTGCAGATATAAATAAAATCGTGACTCGATGCTCTTATCGCGTCATATTGCCGTCTCACTGTTCCTTGTCAGTGCGATTAAGTACGACCTTAACCCTCTCGCGGGTTCGCCTCCGCGGCACTCTTTCGCCGACTGTTCTCCCACGAAGGAATTTTATACATGGAAATAATTATAGAGCGACTCGTCGAGTGACATGGTAGCTTTTCTCAACCACGTAAAAATTTATTATTCGCATACGAGATGTCTCAAGAACTTATGATTATCATTGGATTCAATGGATTTGAAATCGATTTTTTCGTGGTAAAAATATCAATAATTTTGAATTAAGCATTCGAAAATGCAACTTGAATCTACGAACACAAAATGTTCTTCAATTAATTTTAAAAGGAATTTACTTATCAAATTTTGATACAAGTACACACAATTAAAATCAAAGTATATATGAAGAGTTTCTTCGAGATTTTTCCAATTTTTTGTATTTTCAAATAATTACATATATATTTTTTAATTACTTGTATCAAAATTTTATAATTTTATAATTTACAACATAATGGAATGTATGACTAAGTGTTGAAACTCTCGAAATTTAGAAAGAAAAATGTATATCGAATGTACACTCGAATTTTTAGTCATTTTTCCTGAAACATTTATTTCGGCGTTGTCGGTGAGAAGAGTCGGCTCTCGTCGCAAAACTGTCCCCTTCTCCGATCTGTTAACTCCCCTCTGGTATCCTCTCGCACCTCGCCGCGCTTCGACGATGACAGTGAACTAGAGAGAGGCGCGATGCACGGCCCAGTGGTGCGCTGGTAGCTACGGGAGAGGGAAAAATTCAATGAGCCTGTAAGGAGGTCGGTTATTTTCTTGCGGGCCAGAGAGAGAGAGAGAGAGAGAGAGAGAGAGAGAGAGAGAGAGAGAGAGAGAGAGAGAGATCATTCTCGAAGTTCACTGACGTTTCGTGACGATGACGGCGGTCGGTTGATTAAACTCTTTGCCATCACGTCAGTCTTCCTCTTATCTTGTCACCCCTTAAAGTAGCGTTGCTTCGTGATCGATCTTTATCAGTCGAAAATTGGAAAAAAGGGCACGAATTATTCAATTAATATTAGCTTTGTTTCTTGCAAAGTCTGAAGTTTTTATCAAATTATTTGCAGAGATTGCAAATTGGAGATTATAATTTTATCTGTTAAATAATTTCAGTTTACACTAGTCAATAATATATTTTTTTAATATTATATTTTTTCTATGAATGGCCACATAAAAATTATAAAATTTATTAGGTTTTACGAGCTAAGAGGACATTATATATATAGTAGCAAGAGAGAATGTTAGATAATAAAAACAAAAAGAAATTTCTGCAAATTTTTTATTGGTGAAATTCAAAATATAATTATGCGAATCATAATTTGTCAACTTCTCAGTAAAATCGTGTAATTTTTTTCTAAAAGGCGAAAAAGTGAAAATTTTATCGTTGAAGGTAATGGAGAAATTTGTCACTCTTAATGTTTTCACTCTAGGAAAAAAATTACATGGTCACTGCTCTGATTACAGTGCACTGTCTCATTGGATCGAGTTTTATAGCGTTTTCTACTGAGAAAACATGCAATACTTGTGCAAATCAGTTTACGTATTTTCGGTGTCAATAAATTATTTAATCTTTTTAAGGTTATGAGGTTATCGTGACGACAAAGAATATGTAATTAAAAGGATTAAATTATTTATTAAACTGAAAATATGTGAATCGATTTGTATTCAATTGCACTCAGTGTGTACATCAGTGTTACACTAGTTTTCCCAGAGGAAAATGCTTTAATCAATTTCCAATTTACAATCCTCGCTCTCCAACGTATTGTCTGATACGTGTATATTTCCCTTAATTAAATGTAGAAAGCTGAGGAAAGCATATAGATTTATTGATGAATCATCCTCCGCCTGACCTTATGTGCGGTTTGCACTAAGGGGTACAACATGCCCCAGAAGAGGGAGCCCCTTTTAACCAGCGTCCCCTGTCGCCACCCCGTTAGGATATCGACCCTGGAATTGCATCCTCTGTGTTCTCGTCGGCCACTCTCCAATCGTCGCGTTTCTCACAGAATCTCCTTCGCATTCCGATTCATATCCGCTACGTTCCTTCGGTCATGTGGAACGAGCGGCGATACATTAGTACGAGTGTCGGCTATCGAGGACATCCGTATTTGAGCCTCACTCCATAATTAACGAATCCGCATCGCGAATATTCATTTGCTTCCACGAAATTCGAGCTGACGTTATGCGACGTCATTTTAACGAGACTGAATGTCGATAATTGAATAGCCAAAAGGAATCTCGTGCAAAAAATGTCTGTAATTTGGACGTAACATATTTCAATAATCATTCAATATAAAATCATTTTTAATATAATATTTATTATAATTAGAAGACGTAGTAATTTTTATCTCTTTAATCGAATACTATAACTTTCAAAATATAGATGTTTGTACGACAAGGAAGATCAAGTGATCATCCTTTGAGTGCCAATTTCATTTTCATACATTTGCCAAAACTGAGGAAAAATTTGTAGCGATGTGGAACATCGGATTTGTGTAAATACACTGAAAGAAAAATGATGTAGCAACAGCATTATTTTGAAAATAATTTTCTTAATTCATAACAGCATTAATCAAACAAATAAAATTGTGTCAAAACAAAAATATGGTATATTTGTCAAAGTTAATATTATATATTTTATAATATTATATATTTATAAT